GGTCATGGAAAATGGGCTCTTGAAGCGAAAGTGGGAGAGTCCTGATGGGCGTACCTCTAAGACGATGCTGGTCCTCCCCAAGGTAAAGGTTTCCAAGGTCTTAGAGGAAGTTCATGCCGGAACATCTGGAGCCCACTTCGGAGTGAACAAAACTTTGTCGAAAATCCGGGAGAGGTTTTATTGGGTAGGTTATCGTGACGATGTCGAAAGTTGGTGTCGCAAGTGTACGACGTGTGCGGCCAGCCAAGGTCCTCATACCAGGGCGAGGGGAAAGATGAAGAAATATAATGTTGGGGCACCTTTCGAAAGAATCGCCATCGATGTGGCCGGTCCGTTCCCTGTAACAAACGACGGCAACAAGTTTATCCTGGTGGCTAGCGACTACTTCAGCAAGTGGCCAGATGCCTATGCCATTCCAAATCAGGAAGCCGTCACGGTCGCGAAAGTACTGGTTGACAATTGGATCAGTAGGTTTGGCGTCCCCTTGGAACTTCACTCAGACCAGGGACGCAATTTCGAATCCAACGTCTTCCAAAGAGTGATGCAGCTACTGGGAATACGTAAGACAAGGACAACGCCACTACACCCACAGTCCGACGGCATGGTGGAAAGGTTCAATCGGACTATGGAGCAACACCTTTCGAAAGTGGTAGAAGAGCACCAAAGGGATTGGGACCAGCGCCTTCCACTATTCCTGCTGGCCTACCGCGCAGCTATCCACGACACCACGGGCCAAACACCTGCTCACGTTGTATTTGGGAAGGAACTGCGGCTGCCCTGTGACCTAGTCTTTGGATTGCCATCCGAAGAACCAATGGAAGTACGTGACTACGTGGACGAACTGAAAGAGAAGTTGGTCAACGTGCATGAACTAGTGAGGGGCCGGATCAAGATTGCCAGTGACCGAATGAAGACCCGTTATGATGTGAAGGCCAACTGTGGCGGATTCCAGGAAGATGACTTAGTGTGGCTGTATAACCCCCGACGGAAGAAGGGACGTTGCCCAAAACTGGCTCCTGACTGGGAAGGTCCATACACTATCGTCACTAGAATAAATGACGTAGTTTATCGGATCCAACGTGGACCAAAGACGAAGATGAAGATCGTTCATCTCGATCGACTAAAACGGTACGAAGGAAACAACGAAGACGCTTCCGATCGGGACGATCGGATTTGAAGAGGGGGGCAGTGTTACGAAATACACCCTTACGCCGCCCCAGTACGACGCCTATGGCGGTCGAGAGCCTTCTGGACGTACGCACGGCGCTGATGGGTGAATCATCGCTGTTGACGGCCGAGAGGCGGGCGCATAAAGACAGGTCTGGAGCGTCTCGAAGCGGCGTCCAGGGGAGTCTCGAAGCGGAGTCGCGATGGATGTTCGTGAAGGATCTCGATCAGAGACTATGCGTTTAAATAGAGGCGACCGTAGGTAATGGATTCATTCATCCAGTGAAGACAGTCGAGAGCGCCGGAATAATTTCTGTACATATTCGTCGCAATAGATAGTGTTGTAATTCGACCTGAAGAAATAAATTTTTTTTTTGAGTTTTACCAACACCCGATTTATTATTCGTCCGTCAATCGTAACACTATACATATTAATAAGAAAAGGTAAAATGTAGTCCCGCCCACCCGCCCTGTCTTAATTGTGATGATTTTTTTATGCGACATGAGCCAAGAAGACTGAGCTTAACTGCAAAATCCTTATTTCTCTACGAGAAATGAAAAACATATGTTTGAGAACAAAGATTAAGCCACACCCATACCCGCCCAGATCTCAATTCTCAGTTGTGATGAATTTTTCATTCGTTGTCAGATCGAGGGGTGGGGCTTAACTGGAAGGTTCATGTTTGTCTAGAAGAATTTACCATCTTAAACATGTTTTAAGTTTCTTGTTCTGAAAAGACGACTACGCATATTAATAAAAAAGACAAAATATCAACCCCGCCCACCCGCCCTATCTTAACTATGATGATTTTTTTTTAATCGTCGGGAGCCAAAGGAACGGAATTTAATTGCAAAATCCTTATTATTTCTCTACAAGAAATTACCATGTAAGACATGTTTTTGAGCATCGTGTTATTCAAAGAATACTATGTATATTAGGACAAAATTAAAACCAAAGATTAAGCTCCACCCATACCTGCCCGGATCTAAATAATAATGAAGTTTTCATTTGTTGCCAGACCTAGGGGCGGAGCCTAATTGCAAAATCCATATTTCCTTACAAAAATTTACGATTTTAAACGTGTTTTAAGTTTGTAAGAATAAAAAATCACCACAATTGAGATATTGTGGGTGGGCGGGGTTTATATTTTGCCTTTTTGTTCTTAATGTACATAGTATTCTTTAAACAAGACGATACTCAAAAAGATGTTTTTAGTTTCTTGTAAAAAAATAAGTATTTTGCAGTCAAGCTCCGCCCCCTTGGTTCATGGCGAATAAAAAAAATCATCACAATTGAGATAGGGCGGGTGGGCGGGCTTATATTTTGCCTTTTCATTTTAACATGTCTAGACTTCTTTTCACAACATGAAACTTAAAACATGTTTAAAACGAAAAATTTGTATAAGGAAATATCGATTTTGCAATTAGGCCCCGCCCCATAAATGCAAAATCCATATTACCTTGCAAAAATGTACTATTTTAACCATGTTTTAAGTTTCTTATTGTGAAAAGATGGCTATGTATATTAAGAAAAAAAACAGGTAAAGTATAAGCCACACCCACCCTCCCTATCTCAATCTGATTATTTTTTTTATTCTTCGTAAACCGAAGGGCAGCGCTTAATTGTAATATCCGTATTTTTCTACGAGAAATTACCATGTGAAATATGTTCTTAAGTGATCGTGTTATACAAAGAAAACTATATGTATTAATTAAAAAAGAAAACCAACAGCGAAGCCCCACCCCACCCATCCGTCCTGATTTTCAGAGCATTCGGTTTTGCATTTTCAAAGTTAAATTGCAGATTGTTACACAATTTTGAATTTTTTTCCAAAAATCTGGAAGTCTAGGTTGAAAATTCAACACGGATTCTTGAACTACATGTGCAGGAGTACGTTATTTTATACAATTTAAAACCCATCTATTGTGTACAATCTTGTCACGTCATCACATTGGGGATGATTAGACGAAGTTGGCGTTGTACCAGCTACATGAAATTTTTATTATTATACATACAACATTTTATAATAATCCCTCCAGTAGTTTCGGAGATTATCTGTCTAATAAAAATCCCGACGGACGGCAGACAGACAGACAGAAACGGGAGATCTATGTTTTTGTACTCTTAGGAGTTATGTAGCTATCATTTCTTAAAAATGCATGGGTATAAGTATTTCTTGTATGACTAAACGTAGTTTTCCAAATCATTTAAGTTCTAAAAAATGTCAAACGAAAATCAAACTGTAACACCCGGTATATTTAAACATAAAAACTTCTGACATATAACATTTTTAGTAAAAAATCTTTTTTAATGTTACTCTTTTCAACAAACGTAACACTTGTTCTTACCAGACAAAATTTGCAAAAAGAAATTGAATTCGTTTGTTAGGATTTCAAGATATGGTAAACACGGAAAACTTCAACTCTGATCTAGGTCGGGCATTTACTAACCTGACGTGTTAACTCCGGTTCGCCTTCGGCCCGGCAAATCACTCTGGATTAAAGAACGAAATAAAAATTATTTAAATAAGTGTTTATTTAAAGAATTTTAGCATTCATGAAGATAACATACAATCAAATTTGTTGCTGTTACGAGATACATTTTACAAACTCGCATTTAGTTTTCATTATATTGCAAAATTTCTTGCGATATAAAGTTGTCTAGCTTCCTTATTTACTACACTTTTACTTTATGTCGTGTTTAATTTCGCATTTTATATCTATTTGCGTAAAGAGAATAATTTAAATACATTATTTGGGAAACTGTAAATTAGCAGATAAAGAACAACGGGGCTTTCCCAATACCACATAAACACAATAGCAAATAATACAATGAACATTGATTATAAATATAATGACAACTGCTGCTGGATGCTGAAAAGTGATAATAGTCAGTAGAAAAAGTCAAATAGTGAAATTTACACCACTCAGAGCCTAATAAAAGAAGGCGTGATTTTTATTCCCGTGGAGAGCTTTTAGTTAAATACTTGTACTTTTATTTTTGTTGGAAAAATGATTTAATAGCATCCGTAATAACACAGCATAGTTTCTTATTTTCTCAGTTAAAAACTCTGACGTGATGCAGCAAATTGAAGTCCATGATGAGAATCCTTAAGTAAAGCTCTGTCCAATTCACGAAACTACTAAGTCATTAGTTACATTTTTTAATTCACGTCGGTGTTAAAACAACCGACAACTATAGTAGGTACTTTAAACGATCTAATCAATCTTAAACAAAACAAACTTGAAAATACCTTAACTAAGTATTAGTTAATCACTAAGTGGTCGGCGTTGCATGTCAGCAGCCGAAGTGCTGTTTATTGCCGAACTCCCCCAGTACGATATACCTACCTGTATTAAGAAGGCTCCAAATGACAAGACCGTAAATATTGGACCCAATAAATCGTTCTACACTTAGAAACAGGCTTCACTATGTTATCGTTCTGTTATCGGTCAGTAGACAAATGACCCTAATTGGGCATGGGCAGTTCAGACTGCCATCCAAGTTAAGTTCGACCGTGGGCGGGACGGTGGCCCCATTTATGTCCGTGATTTACCTCATCAATGGGCACCGTACCCTCGTGTTTATCTTGAGTGATTTTTATTACCCAATATCCACATTCAATCAAATTTGTGATGGACTTGTTTATACTGCGTCGGCCGCAGTTGATTAAATAATGATTACCCAGGAGTCGCGTAGTCCCTCGATGGCATGGCAGACGCCCTTAAAAAACGGAAATTCTTGATGGCGATTAAACCCTAATTTTGTCGTCTTTATTTAGCATAAACACCGAACGGTTAGGGTAATTTTAAATAATGAGTTGTTGTTTCAGGAGCGCGTTTCCCGGAGCGAATTCATCAACATCTTTTAACGGTGAGTAGCTAGCAATTCCTTATTAGCAGTTATGTATGATAGTGCTTAGGTTTGCTTACTGCTATTAATCAATCCGAGATTTACCCATCTATCTAAACATCAAACCCAGGCTCGTTCACTAGCTGGGCTCTTCTTACCGGCCGCTCGTTCTCTGATAGATTCGCTTTTCTGGAGATAATCGAACGGGAAAAATTGGCTGCATGTAGTTCGGTGTGTGTATACAGAATGTTTCATCTCTATCTCAACTGATTAATAGAACTGCTTCAAAACCACTACCACACAGGAAATAAACTACGCGATTGAGAATCTGCGCGAAGAACTCTAATTTAGAACATTATAGCGGCAGAAAGCAATTTTTATAAAACCGTCTAGCTTACAAAATGAAATCAAATTAAGTGTTCCAAATCCATAGAAAAACACAAAGAAATAGAAAATGTGGATAAAAACAACTGGATGTAAATATTCAACTTAGGTATGATCCTGTGGCGGTAAATTTAAATTATGATAGTCGACAAATCAGCAAGCGAGCTACAGAGGATATTGTAACGAGAGCAGTATTTCCCTCAAATTTATAACGATGACCAAATGAATATTAAAATTACTTACTTAAATTAATTACCTACTCCACACCATCACGAATTTAAACGAACAAGGATTTACATGATGTTAAATTAAGCCACACTTCATCAATAATTTTCAACTCTACATAACATACAAAAAAAACCGATTCCATACAATCAAAATTTCAATAAGTTTTAAAACGGCGCCGTCGAGAATAAATGTTCGAATTCAACTCGCAAAAATATTATTAAACCTACAACAGAATAATTGATCTGAAATAAACTACATATTAAACCTATAAGAAAATGTATCTCATTTTTCGAGTCCACGAGAATACTAATTTGACTGATTTGAATTTTAAGGTCCTTCTCCCAAAGTGAATCGACGTTTAAGATTAATAGATAATAATAAAGATAATCCTGCGTGGAAAGTTGAGAAATTTGTTCATTTTGGTTTAAATACAAGTGTTTTTTTTTTTTTATATAAAATTTGTTTCGCAACAAACTAACATCTCCGTCTCAATGAATCCAAATGGAATCACATCAAAATTTTCGGACAAAAAGCAGATTTTTTGTCCATTTTTCCTTAGTTTTGATCATTTATTAAGAAAATATTATCAAAAAACTATTTTTTTAAAACGTGAAAATGGAATCACATCAAAATTTTCGGACAAAAAGCAGATTTTTTGTCCATTTTTCCTTAGTTTTGATCATTTATTAAGACAATATTATCAAAAAACTATTTTTTTAAAACGTGAAAATTAATTCTGAAGAGAAAGAGTTAATTTTTTCAAATTCTGTTTCCCGGCGTTGATCCCTTATTTTTCAGCGCGAAATTTTAATTGAAACTAGGATATTACAATTGACTTTCTGTTTCCAAGAGTGTTTTTTGAAAGTACTCAATAAAACTCTTAGGATTATGGTAATGATAATTTACAGCCCGGACCTTTTTTCCGATTACTTGCCTGAAAGAACCAAAGGTTCTGTGAATCAAACGTGGATGAACACATTTTAGGCTATATATTGCGTTGTGTTTAAGATGTACTTAGAACAATCAGTTTATGCTAAAATTTGTTCAAACACATTAGAAATGGAAATCTTCGTTGTCGTCAGGATCGCTCTTGTCACGCAAACTTCTATAAATCGCAGGGAAAACACTGTCGGCTTTTTTGTTCGAAATAAGAAATAATTTTCTACAAAAAAGTCGATTATATTTCGTTTGTAGTTTATAGAGTTTTGTAAGACGAAAACAGTGACGAAAACAGCATTTCGAAATTTCCATAACAAACTGAGAAATAGATTTTTAAAAATGCGTGAAAAGTTTCACTAAATTTTAACAAGACAGAATGATAATGGTAAACTGTTTAAAAAAACTGCACTTGTGTGATATAGAGAAAATTGTGGACAAGTGTTATTTAAAGTTAATAACAATAAGCCTAATAGAGATTCTACGTTCTGAAAATATATTGACAACACCACAAGAGAAAAAGCAGGGGGTTTTCCACAAAAGTTTCTTCTTTTCACCGACATATTTTTCATTTCTTGCTAGGTATTTAAAAATATCTCCATAGCCCACATTTGTCTCAAAAATTTTTCACCAGCACTGTTTTAGCACATTTTACCTTTCCTTACGCCGATTTAAATTTTTGTAATTTATTTTAAACAGGGTGTTACAGCTGAAAAGAAATCTGAAAGAAAACGTTCATCTTATACTTTCAATTATCTGATCTTCTAAAGCAATTTTGTCTAGTATTCTACAAAGGAAACTTGAAGTATTAGGTTTAGCGTCAGTCTGCCAGGAAGGAAATTAAAAATTAATAGACATTAAATATTATATCAATTGATTCCATGATTAAATAACAGTGCCACTATAGAGAGCAAAAGCAACTAAACAAAAATTAAATAATTTTTGTTCTGTGTCCTTTTACTTTTCCTAGAAATGCATTATTAACATTATTTAAGAAACTTGAGAAGCAGAGTGATAGCTACCGTAATTCGTTCCGGTATAAAAACCGGAAATTGTAACTTAAAACCCATTAACCAAGTCCAAACTTTTAAACTTTCTTCGAAAACTTTTTAGAACTAGATATGCAATAAAACGACCGTGATAGACAACATCAAAACGTCTTTCTACATTAACGTTTCACAGAATTAATGCAGCTGAAGGTGAAGAAACCTAACTTCACACAGAATCACATACAGCACACAGAAGTCAAGTGATTAAACTTCACGTGGATATCCGGGAATTATTAACACGGAGGATGATATAGGCAGGGAAACAATGGACGGCTAGTCCTTGATAGTGTCTTAGCAAACTATGTTTACTCAGGCCTGCTGGCTTAGCATATGCTTGAGTTTAATGAGCCCTTACCATTGTCATGTTAACTAGCAGACAGTGGAAGCTCCTTGGCAGTTCTACTTGTGATTGATTGTTTGCAGTATCGATTACGGAATTATCCTTTCAAGGATTGGAATTAGTTATTAAGTTAGTTAGGATAAGTACACCATTACAAAGATTTTCTTTCCTAAAAGTTTCCTGAGCCAATTATTTGTTTTCAAATACAACAGAAACGGCATTTTGTGTGTGTTGTATAAAAGATGTCGTAAGCCGCTTTTGCCGGAAATGCTTTAAATCTCAAAAACTTTGACTGTTCATATTATGCGTACTCAAGATTCTTCCACACTTTGCACTGCAGTTTACAAACCAAATATGTAATTTTACGGTGAATCGTAAAAATTTTATGTGTTTACTCGACACGTAAAAATATATACATAAGTATTCAAATTTTGAACAAACTCAGAGGTACTGTGTACGGTAAAATACAAATTGCAACCCTGTGATATGCAGATAAAATGCTCATGTGGTTGTAAATTTTTTAATGACTTGACATAAGTGCCATTATGAGCTTTTAATAGCGTTATTCTTAACTTCATTAGAAATTTACGAGGACTTGAAAAATTTTATTAAACAATTATATTTTTTAAAGTAACACTCACTCTGAATTTTTATTTTTTTATTCAAAGATAAATAACGATTCACTTTGACAATTGTGGTATGTGAAGTATCGTTCACTCCTCCCCATGTGGGTCATATCCATATCTTAAGTTACGAACGCCCAGCAAAGGCACATTATACGAATTCTCAACTGATCTAGAAAGTTGTATTTCTGTTGTAATGATGGTAATAAATGAACTCCCGAGCCTTTTACTCCGAAACATTATTTTGATGAGCTTACCTCAGGAACTCAGCATCACTATAAAAAACACACTCAGGAAAAATATTTATACTTGAAAGTTTTTGCGAGGTTTCTTTGCAACATTTTCTGCTCAATGTTGTCTTCATTTAATTCTTGAAGTGTTTTTCAGTGTTCGTTTCACGAAATAACATCAAACAACTTTTTATACTCAAGGAATTTAGTACTTAATTGTTTTTAAGGGGATGTATTTAGTATTTTAAATTGTTAGATCGACTTTAGGGTTACCAATTAACATCATTTATTAAATTTTACACCTGTTGACAATACCAAAAATAGAAATGACTATTATTCATAAAATTTTCTGAAACCTCTCTCTTCCTAGACACAAAATCTTGTTTAATTTAAAAATTAAAATAGATTTAAATATCTATATTTTTATTTTAACCATGCATTTTTGCATCCACAAAATCGATAGTTTTGTTTGCTGGAATCGTCCTAAAAATGTGCCATTAGTGCAGTTGGATTTTCTCTTTGCCTGCCATTCCATAAATTTTAGATGTACGTTTCGTAGTTTTTTTATTTAACTGACAACCGTTTCGAAGTAGCTTCATTTGTTGCCTTTAGTAGTTCCGGTTGTGTATGAGAAATAGTCGGAATAGTATATTAACAAAAAAGGAAAATCCTAGCTTCGTGGGATTTGAAGCGTCTCTTCCTCAAGCTACTTATTTAAAACAACACAAAGGGATTTTTAAAAGTACTCCGAACGTGTTCATTCAACGATATGGTGCCAATCAAATGATCCGATTTTTGTAAGAAAGGTGTTTTTGACATGCATTTTTTTATTAAGTTATTTTGATCACCTTACTTCGGTAGCGTAGAAAGCAAAATTATAATTAAAGAACTGTATAATATTCTAAATATATTTTATTTTTTCAAAGAACATCTATTTCATCAACACACCCAATATGTCCTTAACTGTAAGTACTGCGTTTTAAAAGTTTTAAAGACATACTATAGAACATTTTATAATGTTTCACTTAATGGCTAGTAGTTGCCCTACTCACAAAATCACAAAATTCACTAGATTAATTCTCTCCTGAAGGATACAAAACATAAACACGAACTTTGACTGAAATACAAAATATCAAAACATTTGTACAATTTATTCCAAAGAACATTTTGTAATAAATTAACAACTAAACTTCGTCAATAACAACAAACAAAACTGCATTGCATCTATTAG